CTGGATTATTGCAATAGCATCCTAAGTGGTCTCCCTGGTGGAACCTTTGATCCTCTACAATCTATTGCCTCAAAGCAGTCAGAATAGTGTATATCAATCATGTCACTCCTCTTCTCCAAACTCTCCAGTGGATTCCTATCTCTCAGTCAAATTCAGTAGTTCTGACCATGGTCTGCCAGAACTACATGGTGTGCATCTCTGCTGTCTCACTACTTTCTGACCTTATTTGCTACCTCTGTCCCTCATGCATGTTGCCCTAGCCATATGTCCTTTTATAATATTCATTGACTATAACAGGCCCATCTCCACCTCTGGGCTTTTGTACTTGCTGTTCCCTCTGTTTGGAATGTCATTCCTCCAATATTCATAAGATCTACTTTCTTCCAGGTCTCTGCCCAAATGTCATTTTATGAAAGAGGCCCTTCCTGGCCAACCTGTCTATATCACTTTCTGTCCTTATATTGAATTATAGGAAAAACTGACTCCTACTCTTAATTAGTTTGTTGGGTTGGCCCAAACCTTTATTATAGAACACAGAAAAGTGACCAGATATGTTATTGGTGAGATGATAAGACCTTGGTTTTTGCCTTAAGGAAAAATTTTTGTCAAGAGAGAAAGTGCAATAAAGCAATAATTTATTGGCTGCAGCAAAAGCATACTCAGAACAGTGCAATAAGGAAGGGCTTAGCATAGAAGAAGCAATGGGTGTGGGGGGGGGGCGCTAGGCTGGGCTTCCTTGGCTCACTGAAAACTCAGAGAAAAGGGGGCCTTGGAGACAGGTTCAGGGGATTAGCCCAGAAGGGGCTCCCACTGCCCATTTCTCCCCTGGTTGCAAGTCTTATGGGGGTCCCCTGTAGAGGTGTCCAACTGTTGGGAACTGCTGTGCCTGGTATCAGAAGCTGTAACCCCCACCAAAGCTAAGGCTGAGGGAATGACCTCGGACCATAAGCCACCAAGGAGACAAAAGCTTATCTCCCTGGTAGGAGCACCACTTCTGCTCGTTTTACTTCACCCTGCCTGACCCCCAATGCTTGGTCAGTTAGCCAATGATGGGTAAGATTCCTCAAAGGAGGGATGACCTAAGACAGGCACGGTCATGGGGAAGCCCCAGGGAAGGACTTTGGGGGCTACAGCAAAAGGGGGTGATGGACCCTGGCCCCTCGGCTTTGACATAGCCTGAGTCCTCATTGTCTGCCAGAAAATCTCCTAATCTCTTGGCTGCCTTACTTCCCTTACTCCACCTAAGACTGAAACAATAACAGAGCGTGGTGCAGCACTGTGCTGGAAAGGGCGGGTTCCCCAGGTGATCAGGCCTAGGAAAGAATAAGTAAAATCCTGTGAAACCTGCTTTGTTTAGAATGCTCTCAATTAAATGATAAGGGTCCAAGGAAGAAGTAAGTTTGTTCCTTAAAGTTTTTTACAGCTCTTTAGCAACCTGACCATGACTCAAAATAGGCCCTCAGAGTTCCTTGTTATTTGATCCTTACTTCTGGCAATGAGTAATGAGTTTTAGCTGAATTCCTGTGTAAACAAACCCAATAAAAGCCGTTGAGGAAAAGGCTCTTGGTCCTTCTCCTGTGAGAGATCAGCCACCTTTCCTCCCCAAGCAGATCATGTCTTAGTGGACTTATTCTCATCCGTGGAGGATGGGGGTCTCTGCGGACAAAGCTCCCCCACATCCAACCTGTGGCCCAGGTTGGCTATGAATGTGGCCCAATGCAAAATCGTAAATTTACTTAACACCTTTTCTTTGCTCATCAGTTTTTGTTAGTGTTTGTGTATTTAATGTTGTGGCCCAAGACAATTCTTCTTCCAGTACGGCCCAAAGATGCCTAAAGGCTGGACACCCCTGCTTCTTAGCGTTTAGGAGATGTGTGTCTGTGGAAGAAGAAGAGGAGGAAGGAAAAGGCACAGGCTGCTCCTCAGAGGTAAGAGTGCGCACTGGGTCCTTTGTCCTGAGGGTTTGTATTTCTTTTTTGCAGTTGGGACTCTTAGGGGAGATCTCAGGAAACCATCTCAATAGAATATTTATCAGCTTTTCAGGTGTGTCCTTTCAGAGTTGGGGTCTCCACTGATTGGTTGGCACTGGGGCAGAGGGTCATTAGTCAGCGCAGCTGGTCCTGATGTCAGCTCTGGCGTCAATTGTCTGGTTTTGCTGCTTTTCTGGGCCTATGGCTGAAACAATTGAGGCCTAGATGTTTCCTTTAGTGAGGACAAGTCAGGAGGTCTGAATGGCATGACCAGCAATATAAGTCATGGGGTTCAAAACCACATGACCAGTGACATGCTAGGGGAGGAAAGGTTCCCCTGGGGCGAGGTCTCTGTTTTTCCAGTTTTGCCTGTTGATAGGCACCTGGGGCTTTCAGCCTTGCTGACCTGAACCTGGCCCATCGTGCTTGCTCTGCTTACGCCTACCACAGATATAGCCGGGAAGGTGCATGTCCTTGAAAAGATCACTCCCCAAAATCTAGGGATCCCTGATTACTGCCATTCTTTATGGTAACTGTTTAAAAACAAACAACAAAAAAACAAAACAAAACAAACCTTTCCCCTTTAAACCTAGAAAGGTTTGAGGGGTTAAAGCAGGGCAACTTTTCCTCCCCATCCCTCCCAAACATAAACTCACAAGCTCATACCTGCCTGCTTGTCCCATGGGACAAGAGTAACTGAGAATGGAGGGAAGGTGGCCAGGGCTAAGGAGAAGTGTTCAGTCTGGACCCTCTGATTTCATTTACCCTCTATGCTCACAACCCCCTAAAGCCGCTTCCCCACTGCTCACCTTCCTTACCCAAGACCACCACGGTGGTATCTAGGCAAAAGGGAGAAAAAGTAGCCATAGGCACTGCTACTTTCCCTCAGTGTTTCATTTTGTTTAATTTTCAAATACTCATTGATGTGAAAGGGAACTGCATTTGAGTCCTCACTGTACTGGGAAAGAAGACATGCAATCAGATAAACGAAACAGACTAGACTCTTCCCTATTCTCCCACACCTACTACCTACATTCTCTGTAGCCATACCTTGGTTCAGGGCCCTCATCCTGCATGAAATGACCTCTTGACCCTCTCTACCTATTCAAATATTCTCTATTTTGAAGGTTCGATTTCAGACTGGGATCCTTGTACATCTATGTCTACACCATCCCTGACCCTTGCCACCTAAAGACTATTTTCCAAAACTCATCAGAGATTATTGGGAGCAGCCTAGTTCCGAGTAAGTTGTGAACTCTGATGTTCCAAACTTGACATTGAGTTCTTTTACAATGGTTCCCAACCTTGGCTGCATGTTGGAATCATTCAGGAGATTTAAGAAACACTATTGCCTGGGTCTCATCCCAGAGCTTTTGATTGAATGGACCTGTGGGTGTGACCTGGGCATCAGAATTTTTTTTAAACATCCCCAGTGGTTCCTCTGTGTATCCAGATTGAGAACCTTCAGCTTTTTACTGAGGGCTCTTTCTTGCATTCTCTCAGTAGTTTGCATTATTGTGGGTTTTCAATTTGTTTATCAAATAAAGAAAAGGGCATCTGCTAATGTTTGTCAGAGACTTGCTGAAGCTTTAAACCCAAAGCCCACAGATATTACTGTCTTCATAGTGTCACTGAAATTCTTGCTTCTCAAAGTGTGGGCCTTAGACCAGTAGACTGTCAACATCCTCTGGAGCGTGTTAGAAATGTAGATTCTCTAGTCTTGAGAACTGTGAAAGTTTCAGCACAAATGATTTTTTCCACCTCCTACACTACAAGACTTGAATAAATGCTAGAATAATTCCCAGAAGCTCAAGGCTGTTTCCCTGGGAAGACCTAGCCCTTCCTTGAGTCCCTCGTAGGGGCAAGTTCAAGCCTGGCAAAAGGTTTTGGTTGGTTAAAGCCTAAGACCTGACTGTAGGTCCCTGTCCCTGACCTCCCTTTTCTTAAGAGCATTCACTTAAAAACAAAAACAAAAAGCCCTTACAATTGTAAATCCTTTCTCTTTTTGAGTTGTGTAAGTTTGTATCTCCTGAAAACCCAGAGTGTCTTTCTTCCTCAAGGACCCAGGAGCCTTCCCTTTGAAATATAATCACCAGCACAGATAAAGCTCCAACTCCCTGTCTCCGGTGGGAGGGGAGAAGCCTAATGTGATAAGTCAGCCAGTTAGCAGACACAGATAGCCTAATCACACTGACCAATGCCCCAACCCGCTCTTTGTAATTTTCCACCACCTTGACTCAGTTCAAGCCCTTACGCATTCCCCCTCACTGCTCCTTCACTCTCCCTTTAAAATTCCAGTCGCCTCTGCACAGAGCCCAGTTTTATGTTGAGGGCTCTCCTCCACTGCACTCGCTACTGAGTAAAACCTGTCTTCACTGCCTTTAACTAGTGTCTGCGTTAGTTGTCCTTTAACAGTCTCCAGCTGAACAAGATCCTCAGGTGATCTGCATGTACATTAAAGTTTGAGAAGCACTGTTTTATATTATCTATCACTCCCTCAATGATGTTTAATAAACAGACCTGAACGAAGATAGGGATTATAATGCTCATTTTACTAATGAGAAAGCTGAGGGCCAAAGCTTTGCTTGAACTTGCACAGCGATTAAACTAGAACTTACCCATCTCATGACTCTGTGGTTTTCCATGATGACATACTAATCAGGAGTAAAACAGTTGGTGAAGGAAATCATAATAAGGTTTCTCTTTATGCATCCATTGCTGCAACGTCCTTATAGGGGCCACTCTTCTCCAGCCATTTCAGGATCAAGTGTCTTCCAGGACCGAAGAGTTCTCATCTGAGTTATCCTGTCAGTGGAGTCCCAGGGGTCAGAGTCACTGTACTGACTCAGTTCGAGCACTGAACCATATGCCCTCCAGTCTGCAGAAGCTCAGCCCTTTACAGGCCTGTGCACACATGAAACCAGACCTAGTCACCGTCTTAGTCCTCGACCAGCCACCTCACCCCATACACACGAAGAACACTGATTTTTCACAGTGTCTTTGGCACAGATGATTTAAAGTCAACCATCATTATGGTAAATAATTTTATTGTTAGCTTTATCAGAAAAACTTGTATTACAGGCAAATTCTAATGCATACTTTTATTAGAGCCAGAGACAACCATTTCTTCTAGAAAAACAAACCTCTGAGGTCAGAATGAAAGACAAAAAACAGATTTAATTTTATAATCTATCTTTATCAGCCATTCAAAGCACATCAAAGCGCATCAATTCCTTTATGTAAGTATTACTTCAACACTATGTAGTGAATCATTAACAGAAAATACACAAGCAAAAAACCTTATATCCTTAATCTTCTAGTCAACCATCAACTTTTCTTAGATTTTTAAAGACAGGAAAATAAAACTTATTTCAAATAATAGCACCTCAAACACTATGTACATTTGTAATGAGGTACACTAGTCAACTCTAAGCCTCATATTTTCCAGGTTTAGCTATAACATCCCTCACTCATTGCTTAGATTTTTACCAATCTTCTTTGGGGGCTACTTTGTCTTACTGAGCCTAAACAGAGTACAGTATTAGAATACCTTAACGATCTACACTGAGACTATGGCATGAGTGGGTTTCCAACCCTTTAGAGACATGAGTGCAAACATATTATGAACACAGGTGAGTGCCCCTAGGGACCCCGGAGCTGGGCAATTTCATACAATCACTTTTTCTCTGAGGCTGAAATCTGTGGTTTGATCTTCTTAGCAGCTTCCAGAACAGAAAATGGATTTACTTTATCTCCAAATTCTTTTTCTCGGTGCTCGAGAAGAATGCCCTAAAAGGAAAGGGGAGGGAACATCAATCCTCATTCTGAGTCATTCGATCAGGGGACAGATATGGAGCTGCAGCTACCTGTTAAGCCCTGTCCTGCGGTGGCAGGAGACAGAGACCAGAATCGGGCCTGGCACTTCCCTTGAGGAGTTTAGTCTTTTGGGGAAGGGCGATAAGGGGACAGCTACATCACAATCTTTGGACTGTATGAGCAGCTTTTTTCGGGAGCAAGAAGTTAGGCGTGATCAAATTTAATCAGGCAATCCAGGAAGGCTTCCCAGATGACAAAGCAGGAGAGGGACCAGGATGTCTACAAGCAGAGGTGAGGTAAAAGAGCATTCCCGGAAGAAGGGAACTGAATAAGCCTAAGGGTGTGGACATGGAGCTCAGATGTCAGCCTTTGGCAGGTGTTGAATGACCATCTGAAAAGGGAGACCCTCTCTTCACTTAAGTTTTCCTAAGAAGTTGGGAGCCCCTCACCTCTGATACTGGGGTGAAAAATGCCCTAAGACACAGGACACCCCAAAGTATTGTGAAGCGGTAAGAATAATAAAACGTGTTTGTGACCAGAATCAAGAAATCCTTGTTAAAGAGTTCTTTGGCCCATGACATCTGGGAATGCATCTTAAATTAAAATAAATAAATAAATAAACAGCTGTCACTGTGCTATTATTTGTAAACACTTTAAAGAAAACAGAAAGTCCCACCACACTGTGGTGACTACAGGGAAGCTGGTCAGGAAGCTGTACTGCCTTGCTCAACGAGGCAGTATGAAGACGTTAAAAATCCTGAGCAGGAGTATAAATGACGTGGGAATATGTTCATAATATAGTGTTAAATGAAAAAAAATCTAGCTTGGTAAGATACCATGTTTTGAAAACAAAAGGCCTCTCGGCTTAGCTCTGTGCTAACAGGTTGTCTGTGGTGGCTGAGCTTATAGAGAGCAACTCTCCCTATCTTCTACTGCTTCGTTTTCAATTTATTTATGTGGATAACACATTACCTCATTAAAGTAATTATGCTTTAAAGATCAGTACAAAGGAAATCCCCACTGCGTGGCACCTGGCACAGCGGGACTGCGAAAACTGCGCTGAAGAAACATGGAGGCCAGTCCCGAAGCTCTGCCAGCCAGTCAGCCTTCCAGGAGGAAGGAAGGAGGCAGGAGCTCCAGGGAGCACCAACAGAGCCAAACACCCCACCTAGTAACACCAGGGCCTGCCAGCCAGGCTTGGGGAGCCCGTAAGCACCAGCTGAGTCACTCCAGGCAAGAGGAGGCTGGCAGGTGAGCCAAGCCCTGGCCTGGAGGCTGAGGGAAGGCAGAGACAGGGAGGTGGAAGGAACCCCAGAGTGCCAGCGTGGGATGACGCTGAGTGATCCTATAAGCAAGTGGCCTGCCCAAGTGCAAGGACATCTGGAAGGGGGCTCTGAGAACCATTCCTAAAGAGCAGCTATGGGTGAGGGAAGGGCAGGGTTTCTGCAGCAGGACAGATCTGAGTTCATGAGTTTCATTTCCACTTACTAGCTGTGTACTTTTGCCTGTTTTTCATATGTCTAGTCCCACTTCCATACACGTAGATGGGAATAAAAATACCTAACACCCCAGACTGGCTGTGAAGATGACAAGAGATCACATACAGGAACACCATGAGAAGGTAGGCCCTCACTGGCAGACACTACCACTATGATATTTTGATATTTAGTAGAAAGTCAGCAAATAGGTTTACGTTCAGACACCAATCATGCTAGATTCTAATACAGACCAGTAATAGCAGCTTTACAGGAAGAGATTAGACATAAAGTTTAAATTTGTATTCCCATTAGCCTTTATTCCTCCCAAATCAGGAAGAGTACTCCATAATTATCAATATTAGCAGTGAGATCCACCTATGCAGACAACCTGTCTTTTCATACATGAGATCAAGTGTTCGTGTCATGCTAAGGATGTCAGAGAACAGCCCAGAAGTCAAGAACCCAGTCTCTGGGTCCTCCTGCCAGGTTCTTGAGGCTGCATCTGCTTTACCCCATTCCTGCCCTGTATCCTCCTGGCTTGTGCTGGCACTGCCCTCCAGCACAGAGGAACCACCATGGCTTGTGGCTGCCCATGGTCTGACAGGGAGCACCCACCCACCTGCCCCCTGGGCTGACAGAGTCCTCATCTCCCCACACCTTCCCATAGGCCCAGTTACCCTGGATGCTCCTAACCAGGGCACAAGACAGCCTGTGCGATGAGAAGTCTGTTACCCCTCCAGGGGCAGCTCTGAAACCAGGACCCCACAGTGAAAAGATCAGTCTCCCCACATCTCCTTGCTCCTTTCCCTAACTTGGCCTGTTTTGAATCCTTCTTTCCCCTTTACTTCTCTCTATTGTCCATCCTTGATGACCTGGGAACACTGCAAAGAAGTACATTCTTGACAGAAAAAAAAACATGTTTTTGTTCAAGCACAGGAACAGAACTTGACATCAGAACAGCTGGGTTCAGACCCCAGCAGGACCACTGATGAGTTGTGCTCTTGGGTGTGGCACTCACCTTGCCCGCAAAACTGTGACTACCTTATAACACTACTGTGAAGAGTGAGCTGTGTGATGAATGACAATTTCTCTCCGTTTCCCTCCCTTATGTTCCCTGGCTTTCTAGAAGGAACACTGGGAGACTGAGGAGGAAAAGTCACTCCCCACTGGGGTCTCACGCTCACAGACACTGATAACCACAGACCCACATGTGAACAATGTGAACACTAGAAATTTACCTGCTTTCCTGATCCCAGTACAAAAACGCCCCCGAGGATGAAGCCTTCACCTTCCAGGTTCCCAGAGAAGCCACCGTTCCGGGCCCGAAAGAAGTTGTTCCAGACACCCAGCCGGACAAATCCCATGAACATCATCTTCCGCCTTTGGGGGCCGTAGAACATTTTCTGCAGCAGTGAGGAGGACAGACCCCATGAGTATAGGCTGTGCACCTACCTTCCCCAGGGAGGAAAGGTTCCCAACAGGGCACTGATTTTGAGACAACAACTCGAAGCCTGCTGGTCCATGTCCTTCCCACAACACACAGGCAGCTCCACCCTGGGGCACTCTCAACTGCCCAAAGGAAACAGCTGCCGACTTAAAGGCAGGCCTGACCCAGGCAGCCTTCAGCTCTGACTCTAACCTACTGCTAGAGATATACAGGGTTCTCGTGCCTGACAGGATGATTACAGTCTGACATTCTGCAGAGGTGAAAGCAGAGAGGAAAGAAATATGACTAATAAATTAAGGGGCAGGGGCTTGGCTGGGCCTCCACCTGCATGGTGGGAAAAACCCAATGCAGTTTCAGCTACTTCCTAGGTTCCCATTCCCAAGCGACAATTCAGGAAGGGCTCAACTAATACTTGAGAAGACAGCTTTTCAGTGTGCAATCAAGCTAAGCTCAGGGGGCCGGGAAGGCTGCTTCAAGTTCAGGGCAGCTGCAGGGGTGCCCAGCCCAACCTCCAACTCCAGGCCAGACTCACCCTAAGGTACCAAACTCTCTACACCTAAACACAATTTCCACCAGTCTGTGTCTAACAGGCTCACAGCACATGTACCTTTTCATCCAGGAAGATTTTTCCCTTGAAATAAGGCTGGAAGTCCTCCACTTCGGTCTTGATCTGCTCCTTCACCACTGCATAGAGAGGGATACCAAGCTCATCCAACTTGGGCTTCAGGGAGGACAGTTCTGCAGCTTCCTTCGGAAAATAGGAAATAGGTCAGGGGCATATACATCTGTGGATCTGTGGCCAACCAACACCCCGTGTCCCACAGGCCCAGTGCATGGCTGGCACTAAATGTAGAAGAACAAAGACAACAAAATGCCAGAAACAATTAAGGCTTGTGTAGCCCAGCCTAACACTGCCCCAGCTGGGCACTAGGCCTCAGTATAGGGTATCAGTCCCATCCTCAGCACAGGCTTCTTGTGTTCTCCTTGGTGGGAAGCAGAGGCTGGGCTCCTGTTATGTATGTCCTAACCAATGCCCAGGGAGCATCCAATAACTAAGAGGCTGCACCCAAACATGGGGCTCTACTCCTAGCTAAAAAGGGATGGCTAACAAAGCAGGATTCATTACAATGCTTTCATTAAGAACTTTAGTGAGTGGCAAGCTTGGCCCTAGAGCAGAGAGGACCACAGGCTTGATATGGTCAAAGACCACCTGTGTGTGAAATGAAGGTTTAACTCTCTTTTCCTGGGCTCTTTACTTTGAATGTGTCACTGGACAAAGCCATGAAGTGGACAGTCACATGCATCCTCCACAGGTCCCTCAAAATAGCTCGGACTGCCACCTGACCATGCTCTTAGAAACATAGGTTTCTGCAAAATGCTCTACCTAGGCAGAGACCAGAGCACAGGAAATAAGTTGTAACTACTCAGAGTAGTTGCTCTTGGAACCTTTTGGGTTTAACTGGTCTTGAGAAATCAAGTCACAACAGGCCTCCATGTTGGTATTCAGAGGTATCACAGACTCGGAATCAAAAGCTCTGACCTTCACCTGTGGCAGGCAGACTACCACCCTCTGAGGAGGTCTGTATCCTGATCCCGGAAACCTGTGAGTATGTGTAGTTACAAGACCAGGGGGATTTAAGGCAGCAGATGAAATTTAGGTTGCCAGTCTGCTGATCTTAAAGGAGATTATCCTGCATCATCTAGGTGGTTCCCATGTGGAATCACAAGGATCCTTAAATGTGGAAGAGGAAAGTGAACATCAGTGTCACGGTCCTGCAATGTGAAAAAGACTTGACCAGCCACTGCTGGCTCTACACACGGAGGAAGGGGCTGCGAGCCAAGGCCTGCACATGCCCCTAAAGCTGGGAGAAGCAAGGAAACTGCCTCCTACACCCTCCGGGAGAAATGCTCAAGAGACCCATTTTCAAATTCTGACCTCTACAACTGTAAGATAATAAATTTGTATTGTAAAGCCACTGAGTTTGTGATAATTTGTGACAGAAGGAACAGGAAATTAGTAACCTCCCAATAGCAGTGTGACTTTGCTACAACCTCTGCACCTCTGTTTTCTCCTCTATAAAATGTGACTAACAACAAACTCTATTTTCTAGGAATATGGTGAGGGACAAATGAAGTAGCGGGCATGACAATACCCCGAATGCAAGGTACAGCAGGGCATCATGTCACTACCTTCTTGGCCAGCCCAACCACGAAAGCTGGGGAGAGATCTGCAAGGCTGAAAGAAATTCTTCAGGGTTAGGAAGAACGATAAGGGGGATGAGGATGACAACTTGCAAGGGACCAAGTCCACTACTTGAGAAACACAGCTGTCTCAAGAGCAGGACTGTCATTCCTAGTTCTCCCCCAGGCAGGCCAGTGATCCCAGAACCTGGATCTTCTGCCACCAACTGACTTGTGTGACCAAGCCACTCTGGCCCTCAGTTTACCTATCTGTAAACTGACAAGGCTGGACCTTGCCTTCCCCTAACAATTTCCTCACTTTCTGAGCAGACAACAATGGTTTCCCTCTGAGGGGCCAACCTGGAGACTGCCCAGGCAGTGGGCCCCAACTTTCACCAAACTCTCATGCCAACGGTACCCACACTATCAGCACGACTGAAACCTCCCTGAGCTACATTCAATACCAGAAGCACAGTGAGGCAATGGAGCTCCCCCACACAAATGTGTGGCTCTCAGCTGTCTACCAGCGACTCTAGGGACTCCCCAAGAAGAAGGAGACAAGCAGGTCCATTCTACAAGTGCAACCTTGTGGTCCCCCATGTGCGGCAGCCGCACACACCACAGGTGGGGGCTGGCCATGCCTGTACCAGTAACAACCCAGACACCTCCTTTCAATGAGCAAATCCCTGTGCTGAGCATCAGGAACACGGAATGGGACCCGGTCTCTATCCTTGATTCAACAGGAAGATGGTCCAGGACACAAATATTACAAGAGTGCAAGGGTTTGAGAGTAAAAAAGGAGAATGCAGTGTGTTGCTAACCCCAGGATATGGTGAGTGATTAAGTGAACAGAAACAAAATAAGTCAAAGAAATACTTAGAGCAAATAACAAAAAAATGGACCAGTGCTGATCAAAGGCTAATGTGGGCCTACAGGTCGTTGCTTCAGGCTGGGAATGCACTGGCCCCTGCTTGCCGAGATCCTTTTCTCTCTGGCCAGTTCTTCAAAGGTACTCACCTCTCGACAGAGAAAACAGCCTGGCCTCCGCACAGCCATAACCACAGCTCCAGTCTTTTCCCAGAGCTCCTTTGCTTTGAAAGTCCTTGGTTCTGGGGAGAATAAGAAGGGTATTCAGTATCATCTCTGCCCATCCCTGCCCCGCCCTGCCCCGCCCTGACTGCTCAGCAGTTCACAGATGGTACCAGGCCTGCCAGAGGACCTGCACAGGCATTTCACACAGGAAACACAGACAGGAAATAGCCACCCTCTGAGCAAAATCAATATAGTGTGAGGATCCTATTATATACCCAAGTGCCCTTCCTCCATAAAAATCTATTTGCAAACTTGAATATCCCAAACTAAAACTTTTCTGGAAAAATGCAGCTAAGAAAACCCCAACTCTTAAACAGTCAAGCCCGATTCCTGGGACACAGTGAGTCTGCATCTAGCTGTGTGACCTTGGACATGGTGTGTCTCCCCCCGAACCTGTTTCTTCATTTGTAAATGCAGATGTTTAGCACTGGGCTGCAGGGAGTATTAACAGATGGGTGTGGAAGTGCTCACCACAGTGTCTGATAACACAGAGTTAGTGAGGGGTCAATAAGTATGAAAGATTATTATTTTAACATTTTTCAGAGAGTTCTATGTCCCTGTGGGATGTTATATTAAAAATGGGAGTTGGAGGCAGGGGATGAGACTGGGAATCCCTGGGTTACACAAAGCACAACAGTTCTCTCTGCAGGGCTTCTCAGTCCCTTAGAAAGGTGACCTACATCACAAATCAGTCCCAGTCCCTGCCTTCTGCTGACAAACTTCCTCATTTACTGAACAGATGACAATAATCTCCGTTTGTGGGGCCAACCTAGAGACCTCCCAGTCAGTGAGCCCCAACTTTTACCCAACTCACATGTCAACTATACTTACACTATCAGCATGACAGAAATCCCCCCAAGCTACAGATCCAGTGCCAGAGCAGTAAGGTGATGGAGCTCACCACAGAAATGTGTGGCTCTCAGCTGTCCTCTAAGGACTCCAAGGGGCTCCCCAAGAAGAGGGAGACAGGCAGGTCCGTTCTACAAGTGCAACCTTGTGGTCCCCCATGTGCGGCAGCTGCACGCACCACAGGTGGGGGCTGGCCATGCCTGTACCAGTAACAACCCAGACACCTCCTTTCAATGAGCAAATCCCTGTGCTGAGCATCAGGAACACAGAATTGGACACACAGTATTTCTCAAATTTTTGACTTGGGAGCTCCTATTTTCTGAAGATCTAGAAGCCCAAATTCTTCAGAACACACTCTGAAATGACTAGTTTAGTAACGAGTGGTACAATATTACTAAATATGGAACAATTATCATTATAGTTAGAGAATGAAAATGAAAAATGATTTTAGTAAGAAAAAGCTAAACTGTAAAATATCACATACACTCAGATCACAAATATATAATATGCAAAAAATGTTAAAAAATAAAAATGATTATTGTTAGTGTAACAGAATTATCAGTTATTTAAAAAGCATTATTACATTTTCCTAATGTTGTTATATTATTTTTAATTTAAAAAAGTTATTTTATAACGAAAAAAAAAATAAGTAAGCTTGCATCCCAGTGCCCCGGAAAAGTACTGAGACCAGAAAGGTCACTGCTTACCCTTCTCCAGTGTTTTCAGGTCTATTTCTTCCAGATACTCCAGGGTTGCTTGCTGCGGCTTAGACAGAAATATGTCCGTGTTGGCCAGCAGTAGTGCCAGGGCGGCAGCCCCCACAGCCCCCACACCAATCGACCACATCCCCATGGTGAAGAAACTTGGATCCTGGAGGAAAGACATTTCTGGAGATTGAGAGGAAGGAAGACAACGTTACTGTTCTCACAAGACAGCTGGAATCTGATCTCCCAAAGTGCAAGGCTCCAGCTGGGCAGCCACCTGGAGTCCAGAGGCAAGGGGAGCGGGAGCAGCAGACATGGGACTGCAAAAGGGCTGCTGAGCACCTACCACTACAAGAGCTGGAAGCAACAGACACAAGGAGGCTCCTGCCTTCAGGAGCTCACCAGTGAGTCAAAAGTGATGACAGAGAAACGACAGCCCTCTCAGGTGCTTCTCTTGCTCTTCCTTTGCCCATGCTCAAGGCTGTAGCCCCCCCACTCCCCACGCTAGCTCTGTGATGCTCCTCTGGGTAGGGGTAGGAATGACCAAATGAAAATAGGGTTTAAAGAGAATTTGGCATCTCTGTATATTAGGGAAGGGGAAGAAAGGGGAAGCCCAGTGTGTGTATTGGGGGAGGGTATGCTGCTATGGTATCTCTGATGTGAGGGACTCAAGCTGGGAGAGGTTTCTTATAACCTCACCACTCAAAATGTGGTCTCATGGACTGGCAGCATTGGCATCACATAGAAACGCAGAATTTCAACCCTTATCTCAGAACTAAGGAATCATAAACTGCATTTTAATCAGACCAGGCAAGCGATTCACATGCACATTAACATCTGAGAAGCACTGTCTTGGGGCAAAGAATTCAGGATTTTTGTGTTTGGTTGGCCCCAAGGGCAAGCTGGCCTTGGAAAGCGAGGCCCTCAAGGCCTTGACTTCTGTTGCCCCAGCTCCTGCGGGAGGGCAGTGATGGTGACAGCCGAAGACAGAACACATCTCCACACCTCTGCTTGAAATGCCCTACCCCATTAGTCTATTCTTGAAGACACAGGTACCTCTTCAAGAAGTCTTCCTGGATGCTCTACCTATCCAACTCCCAGCCCAAGGGTGTTCGTTCATTCACCCCAACCTTGGTACTGTGACTGTATTGCACCTGGGATCTGTCTAATGTGCTCAACATAAGATTTGGACCTATCGGCCAGTTTTCTCTTCTTTGACTCTGCTCCTCAGTTTATCCCTGAACCTCCTGTGCCTTGCACAGTACTTGTTTGGTACACAGTGAGTTCTCCATAAATATGTGCTGAAATCAATTCAGTAGAATTGAATGAGGAAGATGACGACTTGTGGAAGACCAAAGTCCTTGGGCCAAGCAGGAAAGAACCTCCCACGGGCCAGCTTCCAACTCTTTTACGTAGCAAAGTTACACATTATTGGATTACAGTGCACAAAACAATTAGGAGGAAAATCACAGCTCTCACCTGCTTGCTGTAAACAAGAGATTCCCCAGTGATTCCCCAGTTGTCCCAGTGTCTGGAACAACTGCTGTACCTTTACACACTTCCAAAACATCCCTGGATTTCTGACACATGTGTATGATTCAGGAGCACGTGGCACAGTCTCTGATTACAGACCTGATAACATTTCCACATCAGTACTCAAAGGCCAGCTTACATCTACCCTACAAAAGGCATTGCTTCAACTCCTGAAACACATCAGTGCACTTCAGGAAGTCCAGTGACCCTAAAAGTCAGCTCCATAGCCCTCCAACACACCACAGCTATTCAAGCTAGAGGCAAATAAGCTCCATCAACAAGCATTTAGCCTGTTTGCTCAAGAGTACAAGGGAATCAGACACAACCAGACTCAATATTTATTTCTAAATATTTATTCAACATGGATCTGTCTAACAAATGGCAATTTAATCAATTATAAAACTAAATGATATATAATCCTGAGGAGAGACAAGCCTAGTACAAGGATAACAGGAATTCAAGAGGAAAGGTAAGGCACCGTGGGAAAGGTATGAACATGGGGCTATGGTAGAGCAGGGCTGAAAGCTGTTACATCTGCTCTGGGCAGCCATAGAAGCACCTAGAAGGAAGTGTCTTTGGAGCTGAGGTAGGACCCAGAGTGCAGGATGGAAGAGCTGCGTCAGGCCTGGGCTGAATAAACCTGAGAAGCAGCAGGCTGGCAGAGGTGGATGTCAGCACTGAAGGCACTCTGAAAATGCAAACTTCCATGTCCGACAGGGTCTACCTCAAGTTCAAGAGATGGAGTATAAGACATGGGCTCCAGGAGCAATGTTTACCACCCCACCTCCACTTCTGGATGTGATCCAGAAAGTGTGAGCAGGGTGTGGACCTCCTCCTCAGCCCTTGTAGCACTAATATGTGAGAGCCCCCGTAGCACTAGAGGTGACAGTCGTGCCTCTCCATCTACATATGCTTCCAGCGGGCCTCTAACAGTGGCTCCTCTGCCAGTGGAAAGTAGTGGAAATTGACTTGGGAAACTCCTAGAAATTATGTAGGTGCAGCCCATCACCCAAGGCCTTGTGAGCTACAAAGCAATTTCCATCTGGCAAGTCTTAAAGGATGTACCACCGCAACCTGCTGCACAATAGAGCTGACTCTGGACCCTGAATTACATCTATTTCCATCTACAAAAAAAAAAGGATGATGCTTCCGATCATGATGGCAATATAGGCAGACATGACTCGCCTCTATATACAACCACATCAAAATTACAACTAAAATACAGAACCACTATCACTCAGGAACTTCAGAAATTGAGTTGAATGGAAGTCTGACAACTACAAAATTGAGCTGAATGGAAAAAACAACGGAATTGAAGAAACCACATCCATCCAGACGGGATGGAGGGGTGCAGGCATGGACACCAATGTGGAACACTCTGACCCCAGACCCCTCTGGATAAAAATTTGGGAGGGATATCTTGGGAGCCACAAGTCCCAGACCCAAACCCACACCAGGTTCCCAGCCTAGGATCCAGTGCCAGGAAGACAAGTCCCCAGATGTTGGAGCCCTAAGCAGTTCCTCTTGGGGAACCCATGCACGAACTCACCTACCCAGACTCACTCCCTCTGAGCTCTAGCACTGGGCTGGGGGCAGCTTGAAGGACACCAGTGGTATACAAGGAGAGACTGAAGTGTCTGCAATCAGGGGTGAGTAAAGGCCATTGTCCCTTTGCTGAACCAAGTCCTACCCCCACAGAGCCGGTTGGTGCTGGTGCCATATCTGAGACTCCATCAACCTGGCTAATACAGTGTGACCCACCTTGGAGAACCACGGAGACTCTACCTCACCCAAATTAAGGGCTCACCCAAGCTGTTTCCTACAAGAATGGCTGGTCTTGGCTCCTAAATCCTATCAAACAAGCCAAAGTTGGCATCAGTGAGCCCAAGTAGCAGCCAGATTAGAGTCACAGCTTGGCCTCACCTGAGAATCTCCAAGCCCAGCACAAGAAGCAGCCATCTCACAAGGCTTTACAGCTAAGGCAGGGTGCCCTGGGCAAAACACGTGTGAGGGCTGACCTTGGTCTGCACCACCCGGGGAAGCCTCTGGGCCAACGCACCCCATGGGCAGCTACAGACCTGCCCCTGCACAGCTGATCCTCCATGTAAGGCAGAGGTTGGTGGTCAGTGGTCACAGCCAGTCCTTGCAGCTGGCTGGCCTGGGTAAATCCCTCCCATTGATCTGCCAACAGCAACCAAGGCTCAACTACAAAGGGGAGGCTGTGCTCAGCCCACACAGAGGGTGCAACTTGAGTACCCAGCTTGGGTGATGGGGAAGCTGTGCCACAGGACCCCAGAGGACACCTACTATATTAGGCCACACTAAAAAGACACAGAGTCAAAGAAGATCTTCCCAGTACACAGAAACAAACACAGGGAGGCTGCCAAGACAACATGACAAAAAAACATGGCTTAAATGAAAGAACAGGCCAAAACTCCAGAAAGAGAGCTAAATGAAATGGAGATGAGCAATCAGATGCACAGCTGAAAACACTGTTTATAAGGATGCTCAACAAACTCAGTGAGGACCACAGCAGCATAAAAAAAGTCCCAGTCAGAAACATAGGATACACTAATTAAAGAACAATTTACAAGGAAACAACAGCAGAGTGCATGAAGTTGAGAATCAAATCAATGACTTGGAACATATGGAAGCAAAAAAGAACCACACAGAACAAGAAGAAGAAAAAAGAATCCAAAAACAACGAGGACAGTATAAACAGCCTCTGGGACAAACAACTTTAAGAGGTCTAATATTCACCTCATAGGGGTGCCAGAAGGAGAAGAGAAAGGGCAATAAATTAGAAATCTATAAGAAAAAACAGTGAAAGAAAACTTCCCTAATTTGGTGAAGGAAGTGCAGAGTTCCAATTATGATGGATGCAAGGAGGCCCACTCCAAGACACATCATTATTAAAAGGCCAAAGGTTAAAGCTAAAGAGAGACTCTTAAAAGCAAGAGAAAAGTAGTTAGTTACTGGGAGCAGGAGGGGGAGAATGGGTGAAGAGGGGAGGGGATTAAGAAGTACAAATAGGTAATTACAGAACAGTCATTGGGATGTAAAGAACAGTACAGGAAAGGGAGGAGCCAAAGAACCTATATGCATGACCTGTGGACATGAACAATGGTGGAGGATTGCCTAAGGGAGTGGGTGGTGCTGGGTGGAAGGAGGCCTAGTGGAAAAATCAGGACAATTGTAATAGCATGATCAATAAAATATAATTTGAAAAAATAGAGACAATGGGAAGAGGGACCCTTAATATCTAATAGAACAATGAACTTCACATGGGTCTCTAAAGCTACTAACTAGAAATATAGCAAGGCCAGCATTAACTTAGTGTCACTCAACATGCATGGCCTGATTTCATTCACTGAACAGTCTTACGATGCAGAGATTACTCTATTTTATAGCTGACAACACTGAAGTTCAGATAAATTCATTACCTTCCCCAGGTGAATGAAATCAGGGTGGTAGATCCAGCAGGCAGCAGTTTGCTACCTGGACCCAATCACCAGGACTCCAAAGCCTGTGGTCTTTCTACTGTCATACTTTGTCAATCTCCACATTCATTTGTGGGTTTCTGGAGATCAAGGGGTACCATCTCCTTCATCTTAAAGACAATTTTAAAAGATC